TGTTCCGTCACATTTGAGTCTACTGTAACTGGGCTCGGTTATGCCCTGGAGACCAGCAAACCTTAGCCACCATAGGCAGCCGGACCATTGAGTGTTGAGGCCTTACTTAAAACAATACTTCTGATTTAGAGAGGCGCCCGCGGAACACGTCACGCCGCCGTCACAGGACTGCTTCTGCTGGGGTAACGGGCAGCCTCACCATTCCTTACATGCCAGCGTTCATGGAGGTCAGAGATCGCAGGTCATTCTTCTTTTTTTTAAGTGGGCTTTCAATACTACATTCCAATTAAAGAGTCCGGCACCGATTTACGGAGATATCGACGGAATACGTCGCAGACTTATAATTTCCCAAAAGTCAGAAATACAATTGCTTACATTAGGCGAATAACAGATTCAATTATCCTTTAAAACTCTGTGTGACATCCCGGCATGGTACTCGGCTCACGTACGTACTTTATTGGTCACGACCGAGAGTGTGAAGCACTCTGTGGAGCGATGTTCAACTGTCAAAGTGAAATGACATTGTCACACTAGGTCAAAGGCCTCTCCTCAAAAAGGAGGTTTTATAAGGTTTGTTTAAAGTTTTCTTCTCTCTCCAGTGCTTTTGTTACAGATATTTCAATTAATAAAACGCCCTTGCTATTTACAAATAACACAAATATAAAATCCATAACAAAATTAATTAACTGTCGAAGTTGCCGGAACTAGCACTCAATAAGACTACTTCATTAGATTGAGGTTTGTATAATATTCCAAATTTTGAATTTGAAATTCTACTTTATTGGTTAAAATTTCAAACATAAATTACCTCTTTATATTATGATCATTTTACATTTGAAACATTTCAATTAAAAACGAACAATATGCAAAAACATTCAAGTAAAACCAATTAAAACTGCATCGTTCCTAATGAAATTTCAAAATTCAAAGTTGGCAGTATTTTAAACAAAGAACAAGCACAACCCTAAATACGTCCACAGTATAAAAACAAAGTAGTAGTAACGAAAATACCGAGCGTTGGTATTTAGCTATTTGGAACGGGCAACCATGCGCGACAGTATTTAACGCAACTTACTCGCTTAAACTTTCATAGACATAGTACAAACAAAAGCAGTAGAACAAGTCATACATAAAGAGGATTTTTTTTATTATTGTATTCTATTTTACTTTACTATCTATTAAAAAGTGTTACATTATATGTGTCGTAAGAACAGTTTATTGCATCGGTTATTGTTGAATTCATTGGTTAGCTATTGCTTGCATTTTTTTTAAGACAATCCCTCAGGCCTGCCTCAGGAAAATATATCCCATGCCGCGGGGGACTTTACAAACATAAATAAAACGGACACAAAGAACATCCAGACTCAGAACGACTATTTGTGGATAACACAAAATGATGTCCCATGTGGGGATCGAACCCACAACACGCAGTGCAGTAGAAAGCGTCATTGCCACCGCTTAAACCATTACACCATTCGTGTAGTCGTGCATTCCCCAGTTTATGGGTATAAGCTATATTACCTTTTTTAATATTCCTTTTCCTTCTCTTCTGCCTCTTCTGCCAAATACTTCTAACCTTTGAACCTAATCTCTAAGGTTGTTGGCAAAAGGCAAAAAAAATACGGGCTTAAATAACGTATGTAAATTCGTCCTAAATTATTAAAAAAAAGGCGCTTTAATATAAAATAATCTGACTTATTTCTCAACATGGCACAAAAGTACATAAACAGCGAAATAATCACGATATTGACAGTATTTACGATAAACACCGGTACCCAGAATAACACTCAACTTGTGTTTACCAGCGATATGCCTCTGCTTGTCCCTTCAGAACTATAGGTATTAGTGTTGTTTAAGTTGCTAATTTCTCTATCAAATATAGCAAATAATTGTATACACTACACAAATAACTGAGTAAAAAAATAAACCTACTGCATTTTATTTTGCTATGGCACTTTGCATTTCCAGAAAACTAAAATGAAACTCAAACCGCAATGAAAGAAAATGAAGCAAACTACCATTGTAAGAGGGAAACCCATACTACGTCGTTTCCAATGTAATTAAACCATGCTGATTTTACACTCCGAAAACACACTTATGAATGCAAATGAGGCCAATTATAATTATATTAATTTATCCAGAAATTTATCTTGGCAACATTTCAGTAAAAAGCTTTCATTAGAGTGTATCGAAGTATAATGTAGAGCCAAAATACTCACCGAGACAAAACAAATGAACACAAACTCGATTCTTTTATATTGTTTCATGAAGTCTGTTAGTCCGTGTGGTGACGGATTAAGAATACGGAGTGTCACCAGCCCTGTTCATCCTTGGGTGTCGGAAGAGCCGACTAAGGGAGCAAACTACGCAGGACAACAGCACTGCAAAGAGAAGGAAAACTTGAATCAAACCCTATATGAACCCGTCTGGCCAGCGTAGTATAGTAGTCCAAAACCTCCTTTCTAAGGAGAGGCCTATGTCCAGCAGTGGACTGTTAAAAAAATAATGAAGAAGTTCATCAGATAAGCTCCATGGTACCATATTATTGTATTGTCACCAAATTAATTGAGCTCAATAAAATTGGACATGGTTCCAAGCTTCCAAGATTTATGCCAAACACACATGCAAACATACAGACGCTGCATGTTAAATAAGATCTTGAGGAAAAGCTGTATCGAATTCATACACACAGGATTTTTGAAGTGAAAACTTCTCTATGCACGTTGGGCATTATTTGAGATGGGAAGAAACAATTGAACTCGAGACACTGTTACCGTAACCGACACCTCTATATATAAGATTTCACTTCTGTCGGCACTCCCACACACTTTATTTTATTTCAACGTTGTTGTTTTTTTAAACATGTACGTCACTTGCAACAAAAATGGTTTGAACAATATACGAGTACTTGGTTCGTGGTCTTGTGTTCATCACCCCCCAGTGCAAAGGTGAAGAGGTTTCATCATCATTCAGCCTTTAATTCAGTAAATCATTGTCATATTATATCTGAGTTACTTTTGGTGAACAATACAATGCCAAGTTCGAGAGTTGCTTCACTTTTTTCTTTGTTTTATTTGTATTTCAATTAAGTTTATATGTTGTGTTGGGTGCTAGTGTTAGCGAGCAATCGTTAGCGGGTTTAGTGAGTCAGTTATTTATCTAAACACCTACTAAGAAATAATTTCACTTTTAACCCCCGACGAATAACGAGGCGTGTTATAAGTTTAACCTATGTATTTGAGTATCTGTCTCTCTGTCTGTGGCATCATAGCTCCCGAACGGATGGACCAATTTCGATGCGATTATATTGTTCGAAAGCCGATGTGATTGAGATGGTTCTTGGCAATAAATTTTGAAGATCATCAGCTGACTTCCTAGGTAATGAAGGGTTGTCACTAAAATTCATTGGTCCAATTGATCATAAATTTGGTATACTGTTACTTTGATTGTATTTATACGACATGGTAACCTGTAATTTGCTGATGCGTCAAGTAGTCTGCAGGATAGCCAACTCCTCTGAAAATTACAGCATATATACCATGCTATTAGAACAGTCCCAATGAGCAGTTGTTGTTTTTAAAGGATTTTTTTTTGACAAATATAGAGCAAGGAGGTGTGTAATGTTTAAAATAATTTTAAAAATCATATAAAACAATCACAGACATTTTCTATAGTAAAAATTGAAAACTTGTTCAAAACTGCTATAAAAACTAAATAGGTAACCTGAAAAAAAACTTGTAATGGTAAGGAATATTTTTATAATGATAGCTCAAGATATACTGGACATTGATAAAGTATAGTACCTATGCACTTAATGGTCTATATGTTTTGTTTAACACCGGTTTTCTGTGAGACCGTGGTATCCACGGCCTTACAGAATACCGGTGTTAAGCAATTCTTCCGTAGCTTTTCACCGTATGAGTGGGGTCACCGGACCCCAAACCCCCTCCTCCTGTTCTTGAGGAGGAAGTGGCTGTGGAAAAGGCTGTCTATAGTGATAATAATGGATAGTAGTAATACTAATCTTATTTACCATTCCAGCATGGCCTAAACACTTAAATTGTCTATATATAAATTAAAGAAATAGGATTGAGAAATAGGTATATATCCCGTGGATGTTGACCTCCAAAATTCTCCAAGTAACTCTGGAACATAGAACATGGATGAACGACTTGTGCACCTTATATAAAATTTAAATTATTCAATGGATGGCCACCTTATCTATATATATATAAGAGATTTCCACCTATATAGTCACTCATCACGATATCTCTGGAACCATTAGAGCTAAAGACTTGAAATTTGGTATTAATATTCTTTTCACTGAGTAGAGGTCAGCTGAGAACGGATTTTAAGAAATTCAAAAAAAAAATTTTTAATAATGTAAATAGCAAAACAACGTTTGCAGGGTCAGCTAGTTGAATATATAGACATAAAAACGCCAACTCGATCTGTGCGTATCCCACAGCTGTTTAGTGGTCCTCCAAGCAATAACAATGTGTCTCAGAATAAATTATTTGCACTGAACGTGTAAAAATTATAATGCTATTTGCTCACAGGTAGACCTTTTTTACGACAAATTTAGATCTTTGAAATGATTAATTTATAAATCATGAATTACATTTCAACCTTATAAGACTTTTATAGTCAATTTAACTTTATATCCTTTTTTTACGTGAGTTGTTTTGTTGCTCTATATTTCATTTAAATCTTTTCTTTACATATTTACATTAAAATCCAACATTAAACTATATATTGTATGTCTTGATATGTTGTCTGTATCTGTACCTATTGAATAAAATACCTGTGGTTGGCAAAAATGAAGCCACAATAACTTGAGATCGCTTACAGTCGACCCAAGCCTCATTTCATTGAAAAGCGATTACACATACCTTATTTATACTCAAGTATTAAAGCTGAAACTTGAGTAGTAATCGTCATTAAACGTGACTGTGTTCGGGACACAACAGTTTTAGAGGGAAGGAATAATATTTTTGGAAATGGCAACACTGGATAACAATTCTTTTTGGGACTTTAAAGGAATAGGTAAGTAAATTTAGTGTTTAAACCTTATTGTATTACCTTTAAAACTTGTAATAATAAAGGGAACAAGCCACGGCGTAGTGGTTTGTGTAACGGACTGCTACTCCAAAGGTCGTGGGTTCGATTCCCGCTCAAGTCAAACATTTGTGTGCATGAACATTTAATGTTTGATTTGATCTGGGTGTTTCTTTGTATAATATGTTTGTATTTACAAAAAAAATATGTATTTATATCAGTTGTCTAGTACCCATAGTACAAGCTCTGCTTAGTTTGAGACTAGATGACGTTGTGTGAATGTGGTAAAATATTATATAGTAACGGGCCGGCTCGACAGGAGTAAAAACTTTTGTTGACAGTGATATTTTAAGGAAGATAAGTCATATTTACACCGCACTCACAAAATATTTGTTCCATAACACTATACATACATGACTGCATCAGAGGTGCAGTGGTAGTGTACGCGACTATAGCAGTCGCGTACACTACCACTGCACCACTGATGCTGGGGTCTAGGGTCCGATGCCCGGGTTTGTATGAACTGCAAATATTTGTTTCGGAGTTTGGGTGTTTTCTATGTCTCTATTTACAAATAAAGTATATAAGTATTCTATCAGTCAAAAGTGTGAGTTATACAATGGCGGACTTAATACCACAGGCATTTTCTCCCAGTCTACATTAGGGTGATGCTCGGGGAGGACCAGAAATAACATGGTCCGGGTCCTCCCAGAGTAGGAAACGTGAGGCCGACCGTCGGGGTGGTTTTAGTGGAATCACCACATACTCCTGAGTCGCCGAGGAGTAGGAGATCCGAAGGGATTTTCCATCCCGTCAACAAAAGAAAAGGGTAGTGCTGAAATGTGTGACTAGGCGCACTAGACATTGATATTGATAAAGTAAAAGAAAATTATTGAGAAGTTAGACAGAAACAATGAGATAAATATATATACATACACACGTACCAAATACATCACATCAACAGCGTTTAATAATCCACTGCTGGACATAGGCCTCTCCTTAGAAAGGAGGTTTTGGCCTACTATACCACGCTGGCCAGACGGGTTGGTATAGGGTTTGTATCAAGTTTTCCTTCTCTTTGCAGTGCTGGTTGTCCTGCGTTAGCTCCCTTAGTCGCCTCTTACGACACCCAGGGGATGAATAGGGGTGGTGACACTCCGTATTCTTAATCCGTCACCACACGGACTACCAAATACATACGAGTACACATACATAAATACTTACCTGGTTACATACATACATAAACCAACTTATTAATATCATTTGGTGTTAATCAGTTCTTTTATTTATTTCTCACCGAGCGAGTGAGGTTAGTTTATCAGAGCCCCAAACACTCTCTCTCTTCAGAATTCTGGAGAGAAGACTTTAAGTACGATAATGCACTTATGACACTTGAGCCGCAGGTGTCTACCAGCGATGGTATTTATTCAGGGCTGGATAAGTCATGCCGAGGCCCTTACGCAATGCAATCCTTGGGACCCCTTTTTTCAAGATTCAGCTGTTTTTTAGTGGATAACATGGAGTAATAACATCACCGTCATCACCGGACGTTCCTGAGGAGTTACGCATGTAACTCCTCAGGAAAAGCAAAAGCAAAAGCTGGGCCACTAACCTCCGCAGGCCCCTAGGCAGTCACCTATTGTGCCTAATGGTTAATCCGGCCCTGTATTTACTTATAACCATAACTCGTTTTCTAGTTTGCCCAACAATGCATTGAAAAATCATGCAGAATTTTGATGATAAACAATTTTTTTTACTATTCTTCATCACCATCATCACCAGCCTATCGCAGTCCACTGCTGGACATAGGCCTCTCCCATTTCCCACTTAGATCAATTTCTGGTTTCTCGCATCCAGCTCCTCCCAGCCATCTTGCGCAGGTCGTCACTCCACATAGCCTGTGGGCTGACTATAGTTACCTTACTAAAATTTAATTATCAAATTAACAAGTGTGTTCTACTACAATCTTGTTAAATTAATATAAGCTTACATATTTACATTAAGTTTACAGGGTTGTGAATTTAATTTTCATAAATAACATTACATAAAGGATTCGGGCTTTATTTGTTCTCACACATTTACTTAGTTCAAATTATTTTATCATAATATTGTAAATTGGTTTATAAAGAAATGTACCGAATACTTGAGTAGACGACTCGTTATTGTATTCAGTATAATCTGATCCGCATCTCAGATATAAAATGATGAACACAGAATACTAATTTTGTAGTGATACCTTTCTTTTTTTTTCTGTGCGGAAATCCCCTCGGATATCACTTACCGGTGGCAATGTCAGTCTCGAACCGATTAAAAACGCACGCCGTCTCAGGTACCAGTAGTCGGGAAACCAGGTGTAGCCGAGAAAGGAAATCCCTGGTAGCCCAACGTACCTCGGACCATCTACGGCGGGTAGACGACCCCCCTGTGTGGGAACCCCCATGTTCCCTCTGTGCTCCCGGAAGGGCGCGCGCGCTTCATAACGCGCTCGCCGTCACCCCGGCCTGCTTCTGCTCGGGTGACAGATGGCCTCACCTGTCACCCCCAGGCCTGCGCTTATGGAGTCGTCTGCGGTACCTGCCCCGTTCCCGAGCCTGGCGGGCCGGGAGAGTTCTAAACCTCTCTAAAATTATCTATCAAATAAATCAATCGGATGCATTTTTCATAAAAAATTGTGTGTTTTATTCAATTTTTAAACCAGGACGTTCTTATTGGTAGACCCCATACATACAATATTATACATAGAAACACCTAGACCAAATAAAACATTAAATGTTCATGCACACAAATGTTTAACTTAAGCGGGAATCGCCCGCGACCTTTGGAATAGCAGTCCTTCACCCAAACCACTACACCATCCAGTCGTCAATGCCGCTGGCACGGACTCTCTGCAACTTTTAATTCACATACACATTGTCTGGAACCTTTAAAACGAAACAATTATACAATTTGACTGCCTCTATGGTGCAGTGATAGCGTATGCGACTGCTGTGCTGAAGTCTCGGGTTCGATTAGCGCTCAAGTCAAACATTTGTGTGCATGAACATTTAATGTTTCATTTGGTCGTGAAGCGTTTCCATATATAATATCAGTCAATCTAGATTTTATAGTACAAGCTCTGCTTAGTTTGAAGCTAGATGGCGTTGTGTGTTAGATGTCTAAAAATATTATTATTAAGTTATCTGTCAAAACTATTGAATGCACGGATGGCGTAGTAGTTTAAGCAGTCACCCCGCCACTTCGAAAAGTCTGGAAGTTGTTTGTGTGCGTGTCCGTTTCATGCAAGCAATTTATTTTCTTTTTTCAGAAGAATACAATGATGGAAAACTCCTTATTCGCACGCCATACCCCGTTGCCTTCATACTGATCTCTTATCTATGGTTTGTGCTGAAAATTGGCCCCAACTACATGAAGAATCGACCTCCTTTCAACCTCCGGAACTTGCTCGTGGCGTACAACGCTTTCCAAGTAGTCATCACCTTCATAACTTTTACTATGGTGAGTGTTGTATTTGTAGATTATCTTAACTGATATTTTGAACTTTATACCTATTAGGCATAATACTTAGAATGCTATAAAACAACAGCAAACCAAGATGTATAAGAATACGTGTCTGGATCCTTCCACAATTCCTTTTAGAAAATACCTAATGATAGCTGGTTTACTTTCGATCAAGATGCCTTTATAAAAATTCAAATATTCTTATCTTTCTAAAAGACAACTTCGGGTCTAGGAATATATCCTGTGCCGCGAAGGACCTTACAAACATTTATGACACGGATAATACCCAGATTTAGAACAACAATTTTTGGATCACACAAAGTGTTGCCCCATATGGGGATCGAAACCACAACACTCAGCGCAATAGGAAGCTGCGAAGTGACCGATTAAATCACCATGATATTCGTGTAGTCAAATATCAGTCCTTCTTCTCAGATGTATATCGCCACAAAACAATTATATTTGTATCTGTGTTTTCTACGTATGGAAACCTAATGGTTATGGCGTTAGTTTCCACGCCTCAACAGGGTTTACAGTAAACTAGTATGTCGGAAACGAACCGACTAGAACCACATGGTATTCAATCATATATGATAAGGGAATCGGGTATACCCTAAGAATAAAGGGTCTTAGGGTAAGAATAAAGTCCCCCCAGAAACCTGACAGACCACATTCATGCATGCGGAAGGCCTTGCTCTTGTTACGGTTAACAGGCCTCGGGTCTCCTTATTATTATATATATATAATTTTTTTATAACTATGCACTTTTATACATCGGCGGACTTAATGCCCACGGCGTTCTCTTCCAGTCAACCCTTAAGGTGCTATGCAACCAAACTACTTTTGCTATGCAACCCCATTGTTAGCCCAGGCTATTAGTATCTCCCGCTGAACAGATGTATGTGGTAACGACACCTTAATTAACATGTTAAAATGGATACCCCACCCGTAAATGAAATAGACAACATGAGCACTTAATGTGACGCCCATTAATATTGTTTAATTTCAGCATTGATTTATTATTTTATTTAAAAAAAAAAACACCACCCGCATTAGGAATATATCCTGCGTCGCGGGGGACTTTACAAACATAGTACATGAAACGGACACCCAGACTCAGAACAACAATTTGTGGATCACACAAAGTGTCGTCCCATGTGGGGTTTGAACCCACTCGGCGTAGCAGAAAGCGGCGTGGGGACCGTTTAAACCACTACGCTATCCGTCCAGTCAAAATGCAGCATGTAAAAGATGAAAGCTGGCAAATAAACATAACAGCTTATTGACATGTAAATAAAGCTGAAAATGGTACCGATTAATATTTATTATATAGGAACCAGTAATACTATACACATACTAATAGCCTTTCTTTTTAACGTGTGGAAATCCCCTCGGATACCACCTATCGGTGGCATGTCGGACTCGAACCGACTAAAACCTCACGCCGTCTCTTGTACTAATAGCCGGGAACCAGGTATACCCTAGAAAGGAAGTCCCTGGTGCCCCGACATACCTCGAGCCATCTACAGACGAGTAGACGACCCCCCCCCGTGTGGGAACCCCATGTTCCCTCTGCTAAAGTTTTCCCCCTGATATTACAAATTGTTAACCTAGGTATTCGAGAATCCTCCCTTTGTGTTTGAAAAGCATGACAATAATTAATTCCCAGTATTAGTTTCTAAATACACAGTTAATTATTATTCTAATTAAAAAGGAATTCTAAACATCCTTAAAAACATTTGCCCGTTAATATCTTCCAAATTTAGTAATTTGCTTACCAATCACCATCGGCTTAATAGCTTTCTGTAAACTAAAGTTAATGTTTGGAATCTGTTATTAGCTTGTGTAATCTCTAGTGCGACTCGCACCATAAAGGGAAAGGACCTTTGTGGTTATTAAACAAATACCAGAGCATAAATAATCTAAGACCAGAACCTATTATAAGTAAGCAAGGCTTTGAAATAGGGTTTAATTTGATACCAAGACAAGATTAAACTACCGTAAAATGTACCAAAATTTGATTCAATCCATATCATTATAAGGCATTGAATATGACGGTTTAAATTTACGCGCATAAATTAATAAAAATACTGAGCGCCATGTTGCTTATTCGTCCTTTTTCTTTTTTTTTCCGTGCGGAAATCCCCTCGAATACCACCTATCGGTGGCATGTCGGACTCGAACCGACTAAAACCGCACGCCGTCTCGGGTACTAATAGCCGGGGAACCAGGTATACCCTAGAAAGGAAGTCCCTGGTGGCCCGACATACCTCGGGCCATCTACAGACGAGAGACTCCCTGCTTATTCGTCCTGTCGCCTGTCGCGGTATTTAAAGCAAAAGTTAATTTTACTTAATTTAAAACGAATTACAATTCTTATAATAGGTGATGAATTAAATGATCTGATTGATGATGATGATTGGCACGATACATCTTACGTCTTATCGTAGTAGAACAAAAATCGAAATTTTAGGGTAAACAATTTAAACTATAAATTCAAGAACAAAACTATTTGTCGAAGTTAGTTTGTGTACGCTTCAGAAACTTAAAAAGTTTTTTACCAAATGAGCTCAATTTTTTCCACGACATACAAACCGCTTTAAGCATTGTTTTTATCTATTTTTCGAGTCAGTTTTGTTCCTCATCTTTCATCAATGCACCCCAATGTGCCACAGCGATGAGTGGCAGGGTACAGCTACAGTACATTATAAAATATTGTTGATACAATAACTATTGTTTACAAAATAAGGATTTATATGTTTTTTTTAAATATTGCATTCTTATAAAAACGTGAAAACTTCTTGGACGCCCTTTGTCTATCAAGACTTTCTTATACTTCAGTTATCAACTTAAGTTGGCTTAAATCAAGCAAGCTGTAACATAATCAAATGTTTAAATCAAAGGAATACAACGATACCACAAATTGTCGCTATCTTAACAAAGTTACCTTTAATTCAAATAAACACAACAAAATAGATCGCTTCATCCTTGACAAAGAGCCCATGTTGAGCTCGAAACTAAATATACCACTCCACACATCAATATAACTGTTTCATAACTTGTAATCATATTTTTTTACAATTTGACCTCATAGTTGTATTGTTAAGTACAGAACAATTGAGTTCGATGAAATTTCCATTGAAAATACGCTACAGCATATCATTACCATTGTATTCATTATGTATTTATACATAAATAAGCTGGTCATAGTTCATTAACTATTAGTAAACTTGAGAAGTAAATTTTGAGGTCAATGAATAGATTTCAACACACGTTGATGACTTAAGACGCGGTCAGTTATACCTAAAAACAACTATTCATCCCGTGGGTGTCGTAAGAGGTCACTAAGGGAGCAAACTACGCAGGACAACAGCACTGCAAAGAGAAGGAAAACTTAAAACAAACCTTATACCAACCCGTCTGGCCAGCGTGGTGTAGTAGGACGGAACCTCCTTTCTAAGCAGAGGCCTATGTCCAGCAGTGGATTAGTAAAGGCTGTTGATGATAAACAAACTAGGTAACTTAGGTAACTGAATTACTCCAGTCGGGTTACCAGATAGTAAGAAACTACCACCATCCATGGACAGTTGCAACTAAGGGCCACCGCAAACGGAGCGGACCTCAGCGGAACGAAGAAAGACACTCGAAAATAAACTTCAAAGCTGTTGCTATAATGTGCATACAAACATGACAAAAAATGCTTCGGGCTGGTGTATGCACTTTATAGCAATCGTTTTACAGTTTTAATTCCAAGTGTCCTTAAAAAAACCTCTCCGCTGAGCTCCTCTCAGTCTGCGCTGGCTCTAAGAGTCACTAATAGGTTAGTCCTCCCCTATAATGAGGTATGAAAGGCGGGGAGTAAGGATTTGGGGGCCCGGACACCTTACTCACTCGATGAAAATGAAGGGAAGAATTGGTTAACACCGATTTTTGTGAAGCGAGAGGTATTCATATTTACCAATAATAAATGGTTACACTTACGGGTGTATCTCTTGGAAGATTGATTACTTTCGACACTACAGTGAGACCCTGACACGAAGAGCGTTACACGACTTGAAGAAGGACACAGAAGGAGTAATACACCGTTAGTATAGGTAATTTAAAACAGTAGCTGGTGGTTTGTTTTCTGGGCTTCGGCTTTATTTTTTAAAATGTGTACAAAGAAATTGTCTAACTTGTGTGTATTTACAGTTTTTTTTAAGTATCAGAATAATTAATAATAATAAACTGCTTTCCTTAATTTTGTACCGTTAATGGTAGTATTTTATCTTCAAATTTGAACAGAACGCAAAGTACTCTTTCAAATAAAAAAAGGTTTTGTCAACTGAGTTCATAAATGACGGCACTCTAAGGTAACGAACATAAAAAGTACAACCGAATTGAAATAAGAAAAGAAGTCAGCCTTTTTTTTAATTTGTTTAAAAAGTAAAAAATCATCGTTTTTATTTTTTACAGGGTATACGAGCTCTGTGGAACGTTGGACTCTGGCATACAAAGTGCTACGTGGATGAAGATCTAGAAAAGAGACTACTGGTAAGCCAATAAAACCACACGCTACAGAACACTACCACCAATCTGTACCAATACACTCGAGAGCAATGGAAACAGTCCGTATTGTGAATGACCTCAAAGGATGACTATATATCATAAACATAGATACCAATCGACTGCCTCAGTGGTACGTATGCGACTGCTGTACTGAGGTCTCGGATCCGATTCCCGGGTCGGATCAAATGTTTGTATGGTCTGCAAATGTTTTGGTGTTTTCTATGTATGTATTTACAAAAAAAAAGTATTTAAGTATTCTATCAGTCAATCTAATTTTCATAGTACAAGCTCTGCTTAGTTTGAAACTAAATAGCGTTGTGGTCAGATGTCGGAAATATTATTATTATAGACATAGCTTAGTAAATAATATTTTATGTAGGGGTCCAACAAGCAGACCCTTTGTGTGCCCCCCCCCCCGCTCCTCTCCCAGTTTTAGGGGGAAGAGGATTTAGGGCTTCAGTAAACTCACTCACTCGGTGAAAGGCATCGAAAGAACTGCTTAACACCGGTTTTCTGTCAGGCCGTGGTCCCACTCCGGTTGAGGCGGCTTATTTGTGCCTAAGTTGGTTCTCCCACGGTTTTCCTACACAGATGTTAATCCACTGGGATCAACTATCTGTGAGCCATTTATTCCAAATCCCTGCTGAGAAATAGTAAAAAGTATCCACCCATCCATTCATCTTTATCGAAAACAATAATTACAAATTATTCTGTTCATCATCATGATGATCATCATCTATAGCCTTTAGTAGTCCACTGCTAGGCATAGGTCTTTAATTAGAAAGGAGGTTTTGGCCTACTATACCACGCTGGCCAGACGAGTTGTTAAAGGGTTTGTTTCAAGTTTTCCTTCTCTTTGCAGTGCCCCAGTTTGTTCCCTTACGACACCTACAGGATGAATATAGGTGGCGACACTCGTAATCTTAATCCGTCACCACTGTATTCTGTTCATTTTAACAAAACTCCTTTCTCCTCATATCAAAGGGCTTTACTAGTTATATCTAAAATCTTGAATACACTTGAAATTCTAATCAAAGCCAGCATCCAACGTGCTTCAGAAATGATTATCATAACAAGTACCACAGTGAAACATAATAGGTTTACATATTGAGCGCTAACTCTCAACAGTAGGGTGAAGGTACCTGTTAATGTCAGACTAGAATCTGAGTTAGATATTTCTCACAGTTTTTTTATGGTATCGGAACAAAAGAGCATACGGGTCATCTGATGGTTAGTGACTACCAGCGCCCGTGGTATTCAAGAATCACAAGTGCGTTGCCGCCATATGAGTCCCTCCCCCCAGAATCAGGGAGAGAGGTAGGGATGGAATTAAATCACAATCACATATGATAAATCATATCATCACACCTGTGACTGATTTAAAAAACCACTTAATTATTATTATTACGCTAGCGCAAGACTCGCAAAAGGTACAAATCGAAAAAAAGTCGTAAACTTCAATGAAAAGAATTTTGATTGATTTTAATGGCATTTATTTTTGTCTATCACGAAATCACAATCACTTGTGAAATCGTTGTGACTTGCACCAATTATTTTATTAAATGATTGTGATTTAAAAGTAGCAAATAATTTGCATGCATGAGAGGGGTTTGGGCTCCGGTAACCCCAGTCAATCGTTGAAAAGCATCGAAAAATTTCAACACTACGGTCGAGCTGACCCATTTGTCTATGCTCTCCCACGGCAATAATCTTACACAGGAATAATTACATTATATTTTCAAACGATCTCACTATGACACAGGCGTCTCACATAACATTGAAACCTCATTTAGAAAGCCGAAAACTGGTTTCTCTACCTTACAACACACTTCACTATGTGTCACAGTAATAATCTAAATATATCCTTTGAGGTGAGATCAAATAACATTGAAACCTCATTTAGAAAGCCGAAAACTGGTTTCTCTACCTTACAACACACTTCACTATGTGTCACAGTAATAATCTAAATATATCCTTTGAGGTGAGATCAGATATTACGAGTATTTAATTATGTACAGTTATGCTCCGTAAACACATAAAAAGTACGTATTAATTATGGGAAATTAATAAAGCTCAAACCAATTTGTCTGTTTTCAAGAACAGCCATTTTCGTTTTATCATTCACTAGTTTCATTATCACTGCTCTGCTCCTAAAGGTCGTAGCGTTAGCGACATGTTTTAAAGCCCGTATTATTAACACAGACAAAAAAAAACAGTTTTATACTAATATTCAGATAATGTATTAATTCTTATTTAATAAATTCGCAACTGGGTGTGGAGTATGCACATGAACGTATACATAAAATAAAATGCTCAAAGCCTAGAAATATATCAAAAGATTTTACAATCATTAACTAAATCTTTCTCAGTTTCTTTTCACTCCTACGAAGACCTACTAATTAAATAAATATATCCAAACAAAATATACAAACATATATACCTAAGTAAACTCGTTATAATAAACAGTGTTTTCTTTCTTTCTTCTTTTTTTATTCGATTCCATCTGAATCAAAGTGGATTTAGTCGACTTTATAAATATTTAGTTTCAATAAAGGAATAAGGACAATACTATCATTATTAAATATTATTTCCATTGATGACTCACTTTTTCTTTATAAAACTAATTTTACTTTTAATGTTATAAGTTATAACACATTATTCTTGCAAAACTTAACTCAGTTGTACACTGTAGTCGACTAATAGTGTAAACGCCTTTAGGCAGTAATGAGTGGGTGGCGGCGAGCGCGTTGCGAAGCGCGCTCGCTTCCAGGGAGCACAGGGAACATGGGGTTCCCACACGAGGCGGGGGTCGTCTACTCGTCTGTAGATGACCCGAGGTATGTCGGGGCACCAGGGCCTTCCTTTCTAGGGTATACCTGGTTCCCCGGCTATTAGTACCCGGCGAAGGCGTGCGGTTTTAGTCGGTTCGAGTCCGACATGCCACCGACAGGTGGTATCCGAGGGGATTTCCGCACGGAAAAAAAAAAAAAAAAAAAAAAAAAAAAAAAAAAAAAGGCAGTAATGAGTACTTAGTTATATATAATTTTACGATTTAATTAAGCAATTTAGTCGAGTATGGAACGCGACTAAATTAATAACGTAGAACGAACATTTGAGCGCAATAGAGCACAGTAGGTAGCACCGCAAAAAAAGCTGTTTAAAAATCCTCATTTCCTTTTAGAAAAAGATCTGCAAAGTTTAGAAATTCCAATTATTCTAAAGGTGTCTCTAAACTAGAGTTTTATTTCTCACTTTATTGTATAACGAACTTGGACTAAATCTTTCTTAAACACATGTTTATATCTATACATATGTACATACTCACACCTTTTTTTTTTTTTTCGTGCGGAAATCCCCTCGGAAACCACCTGTCGGTGGCATGTCGGACTCGAACCGACTAAAACCGCACGCCGTCTCGGGTACTAATAGCCGGGGAACCAGGTATACCCTAGAAAGGAAGTCCCTGGTGCCCGGACATACCTCGGGTCATCTACAGACGAGTAGACGACCCCCCCCATGTTCCCTGTGCTCCCTGGAAGCGAGCGCGCTTCGCAACGCGCTCGCCGCCACCCCGGCCTGCTTCTGCTAAGGTGACAGATGGCCTCACCTGTCACCCCCAGGCCTGCGCTTATGGAGGACGGAGGTCGTTCTGCGTACATACTCACACCTGTATATTTCAAGCAGTAAACAAAGACGTATATTTGGTCAATATTGTCGCTAAGTGCCGTCAAAAGGTTATATTTTGGAGGACATTAGAAGGAAAATATAAAATAGAACAAAAGGCAATGTAAGAAAAGATATGGATTTCGGAATATAATCAATAGTTCCAGAAGGTCAGGGTCGGACAGGGCCTGTGACTCAAACTCGTTGTTGACGGGAATTCCAGGTCCTCTAAAAATCTATTGATGACATAGTATAAATAATACCTTGACACATCTTATCACATCTTACATACGTGTGGTGACGGATTAAGAATACGTAATGTCACCACCCCTATTCATCCCGTGGGTGTCGTAAAAGTCGACTAAGGGAGAAAACTACGCAAGACAACAGCACCGCAAAGAGAAGGAAAACTTGAAACAAACCCTAGACCAACCCGTCTGGCCAGCGTGGTATAGTAGGCCAAAACCTCCTTTCAGAGGAGAGACCTATGTCCAGCAGTGGACTATCATAGGCTGTTGATGATGATGACATCTTATACACGGCCGTCGGAACCCAAACTAGGCAGAGCCTGTACTATCATAATCAGACTGCTGATGAACATACTTATATATTTCTAAATACACACATATTATTTATAAATTACATCCATACACACAACAAATGATCATACTCGTCACAAAATTATTTGCCCTGGGTGAAAATCGAACCCTGGCTTTGTCAGGTTCAGCCAATGAATGACTAAAGAATGAATTGTCATTGCTATAAGCTGTCTTTCTTGGAAGTTAATCCTCATTTATGTTTTTACAGCTCGTAGACGGATCCCACTACTACTTCTTAACAAAAATCATAGAACTTATAGACACAGTCTTCTTTGTTCTTCGCAAGAAGCAACGTCAAGTTACCTTCCTCCACGTATATCACCACACTATCATGGTGGTGGCCACTTGGCTTATCACCAAATATTCCAGAACCGATGCAACTATTTTCTTAGGTACCATTAACTCTTTGGTACATGTAATAATGTATGCATACTATGGGTTGTCAGCGTTCCCCAATTTGACGAAATATTTATGGTGGAAGAAATACATTACTATGATGCAATTGGTAAGCTATTATTATCTCTATTATTTGTGGTAATTTAAGTTTCTTCTACAACAAGGTGTGATGATAAATATATTTTAATACAAGAATTACAAAGCGCAGCCATCTATACAAATAAATAAAATTGAAGAGTCTGTTCGTAATGTCAAAATAATAGGTTTTTTTCATGCTCACACGATTTGATGCGAGATTTCTTTAGGAATTACAGATAGAAAAATTAGAAGTGTGTTAAAAGAGAAAGACTATTAAAAAGTGGGGGATTGAGAAGTGTGCGTTAGTTTTAGAAGGTGATGGACTACCTGGCTATTACCAGGAAGTCGAAGTCTTGTCCAGCTTAACTTAGCCGTTAATATTTTCCAGGTGCAATTCTGTCTCATGTTCATCCACGTCGTGGTGAGCCACTACATCTCCGAGTGCCGTCCAGCCTACTACCTCGTGTCTTCCGTCTGCTTCAATACAATCCTCTTCATTTATCTCTTTGGGGACTTCTACGTCAAGTCTTATATGAAGAAGCGCAGAGCCAGAGACATTGCGAACGCTGGAAAGATGATTAGTTCGAATATAACTAACAAAAGTAGTATTAACTATATTATTAATCATCATAAATTAGCTGGAAAAGTGAATTAAAGATTTAAATATTTGATAATAACTTGTAGCCGACAAATGTAACTAAAAGAATTCAACCAAATCTTAAAAAACAAAGCGACAGATAAAATATTTTTTGTGAATAGTTCAGTAATTTAATTGTATATATTGTAATAATTATGTATATATATATATATATATTCAATGCTTTATTTGCAGTGACCCACGAACACACCGAGTAGTCTGTCTTACCGCGGGAAGTCTCAGGAAAAAAATTAAACTGTCTTGGAACCCGCATCAAAATTATTCAGAAGAAAATTCGAGACGTTAAAAAAACAGTATCCACTTCCCTCCTTAGCAAAGCGTTAGACAAAATAAAGTAAAATAGCCATACACCCTTTTAAACAGGGAAGCACCACGGGTACAAAATATTATTGGTTCTAAGTGAGCTATATTTGGTTTCGATAATATGTATGGCAGAATCGCCTAAACGCACGGAAATTCACCCTAGTTGACGCAAGATCCCAATAGTAGACCGCCCCAGATGTCACCTGCAAACTATTCAGAAATTATATTACGTTCATTATACCAGAGACTACATTCCCAGAGGATATGATGAGCAGACTGTTCACAGTTAGAGTTAGGTGTTGAGCATTGACACAATGGTGACTCGACTAATTTAAATGTATATAGCTTGTTCTTAAAGTTACCTTGTCCTGTAAGAAATTGAGCGACACTGTGATCCACCTCAAGCCATGTTCTCGACAACCGTTCACGAACAGATGGAATGAATGTAAAGGTGGCCCCTCGTAGATGATTCGTCTATGACGTTGTTGGCATTCGTCTATGAGGTCTTCTATGTCTTCTTTGAGGAATTCTGGTCTTCTTTGAGGAAATTATGGACTTCGTTCTGTCAAAAGTTATTGGCATGAGGCATACTTAGGGTATACTAACGCGACTTTGTTTTGTTTTGTTGATTGACATCAAATTTTAGACAGGCACGGACAGGTATTTTGTATTTATTCTGTGGTTTGTAAAGGATTTCCATAAAAACCTTCCTTATGCCCTTTTTAGCTACACATTATTAAGTATTATTAAGTTAAAAGTTATCTAAAAACGGCTATATGTATATAGACCATTTAAGTTATACTGCTCAACGAAATGAAATATTCAAAATGGTTGAATCGGCCGCCATGAAATCTCTAGTTATTATTATTAAGTAGTTTATTAAATAAGTATTTTGTAACTTAAGATAGTATTAAGAGATTGTTGCTTAAATATTAAATGATGGATAAAGTGATGAGTGTCTTCTTTTTTTTATTTTATTTTTTACGACGCAATTGATGACATATCCCATATTGAGAGTGAACAGGCACCGGTAGCCACTTAAGATCAGGCTATGGCGTGTCTGCTTGTAACCTTAGTATATTTTACCAACTAAAATAACATAAAAATTGTTCTTTTGTGAGTTTGCTTTTATGTGGGTGTACCTCCAGAAGCACTGCACCTAATTCAAAAGGGTGTATGCCTGTTTTACTTCATTCAATTTTCTTCTGATTAATTAAGTTGCGGGTTCCAAGACAGTTTAATTTATTCTTGAGACTTCCCGAGTGTCATAACTGGTGTTTACTGCTGTTTATCCTGATTTACAGGAGTTACAGTGGTGGGCGTGTGGGAGGAATTAGTCGTAGTTAAAAATATACTCGCTTCTTTTATCTCTGAAAGGTTTACCCCTTTCTTACCCCAGACCGTATTAAGCACTCATATTTTCCTGACTATAATTCAAGTCCCCACTAAATATATTTCTGGATACATGCATGTTACAGATAGTCTACCTTCAAAAATTCATGGATCGTTCATCCTTTTTTTTTTTTTTTTTTTTTTTTCCGTGCGGAAATCCCCTCGGATACCACCTGTCGGTGGCATGTCGGACTCGAACCGACTAAAACCGCACGCCGTCGCCGGGTACTAATAGCCGGGGAACCAGGTATACCCTAGAAAGGAAGTCCCTGGTGCCCCGACATACCTCGGGTCATCTACAGACGAGTAGACGACCCTCCCCCCGTGTGGGAACCCCATGTTCCCTGTGCTCCCTGGAAGCGAGCGCGCTTCGTAACGCGCTCGCCGCCACCCGGCCTGCTTCTGCTAGGGTGACAGATGGCCTCACCTGTCACCCCCAGGCCTGCGCTTATGGAGGACGGAGGTCGTTCTGCGACCTCCGGCGCCTGAGTCGCCTGCGGTACCTGGCCCGTTCCCGGGCCGGGAGAGTTCTAAACCTCTCCCGGTCCCGCTCCGCCGTCTCCTTCGCGAGCATAACTTGCTCGCAGAAGGAGACGGCAGAGTTCCACGCACTCTCGCTCCGCACGATAGCCGCAATCAGGCTATCGAGCGAGAGAACTTCCACTTCGATGGCCGCCACGAGGTCTCGCCTCTGCTCAACCCACGCCGGGCACTCTGCCAGCGTGTGGAGAGCCGTGTCCACGGTCTGGCCATCGCAGTGGTGGCACTCAGGCGTTGGCTCCTTGCGGATCAGACACAGGTGATCTCCGAAACATCCCTTCCGGTCCGGTCAGGACAGGTCCCGTGACGCCTCTCGAGCCAATCCTCCATAACGGGTCTTACCGCCGCGACTTCCGCGCGCCGCTTCAACCAGTGTGTGTTACCAGTGATGACCTACGGAACTGAGACGTGGTCTCTTACTATGGCCCTAATCAGAAAGCTCAGAGTCGCTCAGCGTGCTATGGAAAGGGCAATGCTTTTCGTTTCAATGCGTGATCGAATCCGCATCGAGGAGATCCGCAGGAGAATAAAGGTGGTCGACATAGCCCAACGGATTAGCGCGCTCAAGTGGCAATGGGCAGGGCACATAGCAAGGAGAACTGACGGCCGATGGGGCAGCAAGGTTCTTTAATGGAGACCACGTACTGGAAAGCGCAGTGTGGGACGACCGCTTACCCGATGGACGGACGACCTGGTAAAGGTTGCCGGAAACCGTTGGATGCAGGCCGCAATCAACCGTCCCCGCTGGAAATCATTGGGAGAGGCCTATGTCCAGCAGTAGACAAGCATAGGCTGAGGTATATAATTGTACCTCGACTATTTTTCTTATAATTTATGTACAAATTCACAGCTTTCAGTTTTTCCTTGTAAGATAAGACATAAAACGACGGTACTTGCCAAATTTCAGCGTTATAGGTCAACGGGAAGTACCCTATGAATTTTGAGTCCCTTGAGAATAGTTAAGTTAGGAGTTTGATTATTTTACAGCTTCAAGGGACTGTAGACCTGAGATTATGATTATAATTTTAACTCGATACCTCCGTATCGAGTACGCTTATACGCTTTCCTGAGATCAAGTTGCGTTGCTCAGTTGTTGTTTTGATCAAGTTGCGTTTTTTCCTTTTCAGGTACGGAACCCTTAAAAGCAAAAAAAAACGACTGCGTAAAAATTTCTAATTAATATTTACAAAACGCCGATTAAATTTTTATTTACCCAGTATCACCCTTACCTGAAACGTCCAAAATCCTACTAGCCGTTTAGGCTACAGAGCGCGATAGAGAAATATACAAATTTTGTTCTGGCGCGGTCGGTTCAAATGGTTTTTATCTTTGATCCGAGTTACAAAATAACTTAAAACAATTTAAATATTAATAAAATGTAACAATTGATACGTGTTATACCTATACAAAACCTCCTTGCTAAGGAGAGGCCTATGTCCAGCAGTGGACTGTTAAAGGCTGTTGATGTGATGTGATACCTATACTGAGTTTGAAAAGCGCTGTCTCAGGACCGCAGAGCGTGCACCGCACACGGATGGAAAAGGGGGCGGCAAACACAGAAATCAAAACGAAAACAAAACTTTTTCAAAATTTGAATGTGTAATGTATTTTTATCTTATCATAGTAACATCTATTGATCGATGAACGAAAATAAATGCAAATGTTTATAGGCTTCGAATTACTTTATTAAGTTAACGTAAGTATGTATAGTTTGAATCACTCAAGATGCAGGCTCGGGGTTTCCAAATAGCCTATGCCGGGCGAAAGTTTTATGTTCGAGGTTTTATGCGGTGGCTTAATTCTGGCACGCTGTTATTGCGACGGTAGACGGTCCAGCCCTTTAGAAGATTACCCGGAACAAACAGACAGACGGTCAAAAAAATTTAAACTGGTTTTTATACATAGGTATCGTGCTAATAACCGTGTAAGCATGAAAAAACCTATTATTTTGAAATTACAAACAAACACTTTAATTTCAATTATTTGTATAGAAGAAGAAACTTCCAGACTGATATACTGACTGATCGAAATTTTGCACAAATGTTCTTTGAATGACGTAAGTGTGCACTAAGAAAGGATTTTTTTTTTAATTCCACCCCTAAGGGTGCAAAAAGGGGGTTATAAATTGTATATGAAACTGCATTATTTTTGGTAGTAGCGTATTCTCTACGATGTGTAATGTCGACCAGCATGCGGACTAAGTCGCTGGCAAAAGCTAGTCTATAAAAATAAATAAAATTGGAGTGTCTGTTTGTAATATTAAAATAACCGCTTTTTACTAAAAGCATATGTATGTTTACACGGTACATATGCCAAAATAACATTTTTTACTATTTTTGTATGTCTGTCTGTCTGTTTGTTCCGGGTAATCTCTGAAACGGCTGGACCGATTTCGACGGGACTTTCACTGGCAGATAGCTGATGACATAAGGAGTAACTTAGGCTACTTTTTTTAGACCAGCTTCGCCCCGGGGCGTTGCTCGCGGTTATAACACCAAACGCGGATAACACCGCGGGTTTCAGCTAGTTAATAATAAGTTTAAAGATATCTCATTAAACATGGCGTTCACTGACAATAATAAAATAAATTCATTTCCATTTATAACCTATCAGTACATGACAGATGTCGGAACAATCAAATTTCGAACGTCCATTCATGATGTACAGAATATTCAAATTGATGTTGACG